CCCCCGCGCCTGTTACGACACTGGCTAACACGCCAATCATCCCCCCCCAATGAAAAATATTTTTCTACGCCACTGTTGACTGTATACCGTAGGCTATAAATTTAGGAGGGGTACTAAAGGCCACTGTTTGCTTTGTATCTGCCAAGGCCACATAAGTCACAATGAAACATGGTTCATATCATGTTCCCACTCTACCCCTCTTAGCTACCTAAATATTCAGTTTATTTTTTTTATTCACTTGTGTATTTAATACATTTGTTTCTTCTTTGTAGGAATTTGAGATTATAGAACTTAGAACTTACCAACTTACTAAAGTCAAAGATTACTACTACCTTATTTGGAACAATGAAGAAATTGAGAAAAAAAGAAAAATGGCAGAAGAAAAACAAGCAAAATTGAAGATGAAAATGAAGATTGAAAATGCCTTATATACTTTAGGAAGAGAAGAACCAGAACGGGTGAGAAATGATGAGATACCAGGTGAAGAAGTAGGTAATGAAGATACCCCAGTAGCAATCATATTTACTCCTCCATCCCCAAAGAAGCTGCCAAAAAGTATGAAAGAAAGTCTGAAAATAGAAAGTGGGTCAGAGTCTGATCTGGATGAGGTTACCCCAAGAATTGAAACTGAATTGTCAGGCTGCACTAGGTTAAATTTTGAAACACAGCATAAACGCCATGGCAGTGATGATGCTGCCATTCAGTTAGGATCATTAATGGAGAAGGAGACCATTACAAAACCAGGCCAACGAGATGTGCAAGCAGCTTTCCCTGTTCAAGATCTCTCCGAAGATCAACCACGTAATGCTGAGGACAATATTTCTAGAAGTAGTGGAAGTTCGATACAGGTGCTTCCAGAGGAATATGAGTTGGAGAGGACTTCATCATTGGAGGGTGACTGCTCTGTTTTAGAAGATCTAGTAACTTCTTTAGAAGAAGCTAAGATTGAGGGTGAAATAGTAAGAGAGAGTGCAATTAGATCAAGGGATTCCAGCATTGTTGTACTAAATGAATTTGTGGATAACTTCATTAGTGAAGATGTAAATGAGGAAGGTGAGAGTACAATACAAGGCGATGAAGAGGTAGAAAGTGATGAAGAGGAAGAAAAAGTTATTACAGCAAGGCAGACAAGCAGAAGCTCGACTGGAAGTACTATTACTTCTGGTGTTGCTTCTAATGAATCAGCCACTGACATGGCAGCATCTCAAAATGACACTAAAACTTTGAATGAAAATGATCTTCTAACTTACTCGTCTTCAGAACCTGCTGGTGAGATTAACATCAGTAATTGTGCCATCACAAAAGGTCAAAGAGAAGAACCATTTGGTACTGCAGAATCAACATCCCTGCATCACTTGAAGATGGATGGAGTTTCATCAACATCAACTCATAATACTCCACTATCAGCTTCAGGGACAGAGTCTCCAACATTTGCCTTCAGTAATCGACTTAAACTCAAGAATACCAGCTTAGTATCTGCAGTCTCAAGCGGAACACCAAGTTCTCAGATCAGCTACACCAGTCAAGAAGATGGAAGTTGGGATGAAGAAAAAGGTAATTTCTTTATAATGTGTATGTATTGCTATCCAAATTATAATAAAGTTGTGTCTAAATGGTTATAATGCATTTATAAACATAATAAGGTGTGGCCTTATGGCCTATTGACTATTGATGTTTTTTTGATCATAACTGTCAGGTTATGATGCTGACTTTAGTGGTGATGATGAGGATGAATTAGGGCAGACACTATATCCAAATAGTGACTTGAGTCAACTGAAAATACCAGATTTCTGGCTCATTGCAAAGATTGATGCTGACAAAGTCAATGTTTACTTTCATACTGGGTAAGTTTATATCATTTTTTTAAGGTTTCAATTTCATATTAATTGGTTTATGTATAGCTCAAGGATTGATACTGACAAAGTCAATGTTTACTTTCATACTGGGTAAGTTTATATCATTTTTTTAAGGTTTCAATTTCATATTTGTTTATGTATAGCTCAGTTTCCACCATTGTTTGATTGTATATGTATGTATATATGAAGTAGATGCATCCATGTGCATTCCAAAATATATATAGAATGTGACAGGAGTAATCAAAATATTCATTAGAATAAATTATGTTGTTTCAAAAGTCAAAATTATATGTATCTGAGTATACCATTGCATTTATATGTTTTTTGAATATGTAATTGTTTGTCTAGTTAAGAGATTGCTTCTTAAAAATGTGCTATTATATACTATTATATATTCTGTTTCTCAGGATTAGCCAAGAAGATGATTTGAGATATCAAGAGCAATATGATGTCCTCATGAACTTGATCAGTTGTATTCAAAAAACTTGCAGAGTTGTGAACCAGGTATAAGCAGTTTACAATAGAATAGAAATGTTAAATTCACTGTAAAAGTAAAAATCATTTTATACAGTACCAGGGTTTTCAAGTTCTGAAAGCATTCTTAGTTGAAAATAGACAAAAATACTACTGAAATTTATGAATAAATAAGGTCTACACCTTGTCTACCGCCCGGGATAATAATTTGTCCATCAGGACCTTTGGCTAAATTCTCCCTAGGCTACCAGCACGCAGACTTGTCAAATTACTGTTAAAAATAAATTCCACAGCTGTTATTACGCCGTACTCAAATTTTAAGACACAGATATTTTGCACTCAAGACAAATTAAGGGGTCCTAAGTTGAAAGAAATCCCTCTCAGCAGATCTGGTTAAATGAGCTTTCTTAACATTTTTTATTTTATTTTGTTATGCATAGCGATACATATCAGCACTGACTTCTGTCAAAAAATTGATAATAAAGTAATAAAAACATGCAGGAGATGGGTTATTTTCTTATAGATCTTGCTTGCCTGTGAAAGTGCAGGAGGCCATCCCAGTTTGGGACCCCTGCAAATTATTAGGTCAAAGCTGATTGTCATATTAACATGTGGTGCCATGTGTAGATTTGAAAGTCATTACAACAGGTTTACCTAGTAAATTTTCAGGTAGTTGAGAATCTAGGGTCTGCAATATTCTCTTAATACTAAGAGGGTACATCTATCCTCGGCTAACTCCACCATCACGAGTGCAGTAAAGGTAAGCAAATTACCTGTGATGGATATGATTTTAATGTGGTATCACCCTGGGTGTCAAAATCTATTAGCTGCAGGCTATGCATATCTCTGTGAAGAAGGCTCTCCACCATTTATTTGCCTTGACCGTAGAGGTGAGGAATGCTCATTGTTAAAGTTGTTTAATAAAGGTTCTCATATTTGTAGGGGCATAAAAGAAGGGTTTTCTTCTTTTTCTAAGCAATGGAAATAATTTGCAGGTAAGGTTGACAAACTGGAAGCTAAAATTTAGTTTCAGTTGAAACAGGCTGTGGGTGAAAACTGGTAATAAGTATGATGAAAGTGAGTTCAGGAAACCTAATGTTATTATTCAGGAATTACCCGAATCTGGTGACAACTCTATTACTCATTTTCATTAACGATGTGTTAGATGATGTGGAGTCTGTGCAAAAATCTGCAGAGGAATACGTTGTAAGAAGATCATTTGAAACTGTTATTTCCACATTCTTGTTGAGTATATCTAATAGTAATGTTGGAAACATTATTCCTCATTATAACTATACCATTGGAGATACTGATCTTCAAAACACTCTTGAGCAAAAGCACCTTGGAGTACAGTACAAGTTACAGCTCATTTAAAGTCATCTATTCACATAGTCATCTACTATACATAATAAAGTAGCTGCAAGAGTAAACTCTGTGGTTGGTTTCTTCCCTTGTTCATCCACTAATGGAATATGCAGTCCAGATCTTGTTGCCAAAGCTGCAGAAGGACATAACCCGGCTTGGAAATAAGATCCAAAATTAGGCAACAAATCTTGTAGTCTTTTAGCAGTATCTCAGTAATGGAATCTTATTTTCTACTTTGTATGATGCAGCTGCATGCTTGTATATATTTATGAATTAGAGTACAGTTAATTAAAAACTAGAATTATGACCAGGCCTAATTTAGCATTCTAAAGTAATCCCAGTCATGGAATCTTATTACATTCTCATACTACTATTAGTTTGGAAGCTGCATGTTTTTAATTGCTCTTACTTCTATAACAATTTATTGTTTGCAATAATATATGATCATTACTGGTTCTTCAACTTTGTTGTATAGAGTTTATTGTTGTCTGATTTGAATGAGACAAGACTCTGCCATACTCTGCTTGTGCCAGAAAGTGATGAGGACATTTGGAAAACAGACAAGAGAACAAGATCTGAAATTGAAGATGGTCAGTTGATATGTTTATTGATGAAATATTCTTTTTTGATACTAACAATAGGCCTATTATTCCACTGCATCATTATGTCCATTCATTGTTTCTCTTCTATGTTTAGAAGACTTTGAGAACCCTGGTTCAAAGAAGAAAGGCTATTTAGCTGCTTCGATGTCATCTGAACCTGGTGTGTTTGCTTGCAATGAAGTATTCTCGATCAACATTCCAATACACCCAAGGTTGAAGTCGACATCCACTGAAAGAATGTCAAAAGGTTAGAATTTTATGATCCTGCACATATGCCATTCTCTTGTTTTGGTTGGATTCTGCTTCTAAATGAACCTACAGTGTGTGCATTAATAGTAGTCTTTTTGCTTAATGAGGAATATGTGTCTGCCAATCTTTTATGGCATCAGTGGAGAGTGAAACCAATTTCAAAATGTATTTAAATGTTAATATATGAATGAATTGATCAATGAGTATAGCTTTAAATATGATGAGTTTTTTTTTTTTGGTTTTTTTTAAAATCAGGCCTTCTCCAAGTCATTAACACACTATCAGCATTTTCTGTTAATAATCGGAAGAATATGTTTGTATACAAAGATAAATCAGATTGTGTGTTCTACCTGAGGTAAGTACACTTCTCCCAAGCAATTCACTCTTCACATTTTCACCATTCTCATTACCTTTCATTCCCTACTTCTAATTCCTTCCATTCATCCTTATGATTTTCTTGCATTTTTCTTTCTTATCTAATTCAAAAACCAGCATTCGATTTCCAGAATTGTTTGCGTGTAACAAAAAGTGCTATGCACTTTTTGTTTTGTGTAGCAATTCCAAAATTGTGCATAGCATTTCTTTTTGGTGGTAATAATAAATGATTATTAAAGAAAAGAAATGGCACTTTTCAATAAGAAAATAACAGTGATGCATCTTTGTTTTCAACATTAAACATTGAACCATACTCCTTAATATTCTCTTACTTTAAATTTCCCATCAATAAATATTATACCCACCCCGTGCAGAAGTCGACCTGGCCATGATTACCAATATACGGACCATGTCGGTACTCCCACTGTCGTACTGTCCCGTATTCGCTGTAAGCAATGTCTGGCCCGCGCGTCTGGCCCAGTTTCAAACAGCGGGAATGACATCACCGAGAAAAAAGTTAGATACTATAATTTGCATACTACACATCTACACGTGCATGATGTACGTACGTTACGGTACATACATTAAATTAGACAACATTACTCCTCACTGTACATACACGTGTGTAATCCTGTTTTCCATTAGGCGATCCAAAGTGTCGGTTCGCTTCCTGAGCTCTGATAGATTGCGCATTTTTTCGCTTCTCAAAAACTCTGATAGAAATGTGAATGTGCATGCACATGAGCTGACGGTTTTGATTCGCGCGAATGAATTTGTCTAGTGGAAAACATGCTTAAGCAAAAATGACCTACAGGAGAAGCAGAACGAATGGAGTGGCGAAATATGAGGTAATATTGTAAATACAGGAAAGAAGCCTGACTCATACTCAAACCAGCTGCATTTGAACAGCATTGTATGTGTGCTCTTGATGTAAACAAGCATATTGCATTATTTTTGGTCCAAAACATTGGATAACAACTTTTTAAAACAATTTTCGGGTCTTTTTTGTGTACCAAGCCTCTTAGTTTTTGACTGAGTCGGTAATTCTAGGAAAATAATTGCGTCGCATTTTATTGTGATGCATCTGTGGAAGTGCTTCGCAATTAGTTTAAAACGTGTCACATTTTGCGTTGCGAGACTGGGCAAATCGAACGCTGAATATAACATAAGCATAATCTTTACTTTTATAATTTACAGACTGTCTGAGACAACTGTTTGGATGTCTGGAGGAAATTCACCTACAGATAATATGCTCCGTACAGCAGATGATGCTTTAGGTAAATGTGTTTAATGAAACTTTGAACCAAAAAATGGCTGTGGATTTTGTTCTGAAAACCTTACGTAAATCCAATGGTGTTGATTAGTGGATCAGCCTTGATATCTTAATGCACTACAGCATGTCAGAAGAATGTTTATTGTGAAAACAAAATCACTTCTAATAAAAGACATTTTTTTAAAACTCATCGTGACTATCCAACCGAGTGACGTGTCGCTCATCCTCTGTGTAAATAGACCTTTAGATGCTCTAATAAGTTACTACTTTTATTTTTGTTTTATTTATTTATCATTTCCTCAACACAGCATTTGCTTATAATTTCATTATTTAATCATTGGCTTCCTTAAACACTATGTCTACAGCATCCAGGACTTCATCTGTGTCGTCATTGCCAGCCATTGATGTTGATGATAGTAGTAGCCAATTGGTAAGCAATTTAAACAACATTAATTCTGTAAGTTTGACTTTTTATGTATGTTTTCTTATCTTAAATTGCTGGTTAAAGTTAATTACGATTAATTGAATAATTTTTGCCAAAGTTATTTACAAGTTAAACATAATACACATCGACTAAATATAATGGAAGCAATTCACCTGAACGAAAAGCCTTCTTTAAATAAACAATTGTTTCACTTCAGTATTACAGTACTCTGAATACTTCATGTATATGCTAAAGCTACACAGGTGTCATCAATATGTTGTTAATTTGCATACCCAGGTGCATTTTAATTGCTATTATAAGTACTGAATTGTAATTGTCAATGATGATGAGAACGGCTTCCTCAAAACATGTTTGGAGTTTTATAAGAATAAGGGCTTGTGTCCTGTTCAGAAAGTGCCTTGTTTTTGATTTGTGTAAACATTGTATATAAAATATAATTTTTTGTTTTGCAGGTAACTCTAAAGACTGACTTAAGTAGTGGAAGCCATGGTTCAGGAAATAGAAATCAACACATGGTTCATGTTGCCATATATGGCATCACAGAAGCCAGTAAGAATATCCTCATTAACAATTTGTTAAAAAAGTACAATTTTTAGTTTTTTAATTTCAAATATTACTATACATCTCGTTCAAAATTAAATAAGTCAAGAATATTAAATTTTCCTTTGCCAAAACAATTATCTTGCAGGTCCAGAAATCAAGGAGGAACTGATTATGGTGTTGAAGAATAAGATCAACATTGTTACTCTTAAAGTGATCACTGTCATGTTGGTCCGTAACCCACAATGTAAGCTGACACCAGAAGATGTCCATGTAAGTATACACTGCAGTTGAGGACAGCACTATCATTGAATAAATTTCTGTCAGATTGGCTTAAGTTTTGTTACACCTGGAATGCTCTACATGACAAAATTTAGTAAAACAAAACACAATCACCTTTGAGATGAAGATAACGCATCGGAATCATCATTGCTATTTGTTTTTCAACATTTCACATTCTACTAACTTTCACAATTTTTCACAATCTTTTTGTGTTTTTTACTAAATTTTAACCTGACTAACAGTAATGATGTTTTGGAGGAGATGGATGTACAGCATTGACCATTTGCAAAAAAGAGGACAGGACTTTAATCAAGCTTTTTTTTTTGTCAGTTTATTCAACCACCCAAAGCCAGTGAAAAGCGACCATCTTTGACAAAGGCAAGATTTAGTAGCATAGAGGAGGATAGTGAACAGATATCAATACCAGACACCGGGAAAAAAAATATTGAAGAACAAGATTCGGAAGAATTGTTGAATGATCAAGGAGAACCAACTGACATCTTGATGTTTACCATTCCTATGTCGAGCAAAAAGCATCTGTCAAGTATCAAGTACTATCTGCAGCAGAATTTGCTTCAGTTCTTACATATGCCCAAGTATGTTGATCAGCGACAAAAAAATCACTCAGATCATTTTAGAGCCTATCATGATGAGGATAGTAGCAAGAATGTTTATCTGTATATTAGACCACAACCCTCTGGAGGACTTGGTAAGAAAAATTACTATTAATAAAATTGTATTTTTATGTGTAACATACCAAATTGATTTTTTTCATTTACCAAATTGATTTTTATTCATTTTTAATGGCGGATTGAATATCATGTGACATTGGGTTTTAAATGGTACAGTAGTTTCATTTTCATTTTTAAAAAAAATTCATATTTTGGGAATGGTTTATGAAATACAGATTTGTAAAGATTCAGAAACTGGGGGAGAAAGTAGAAAAAAACGGTGGTTATGCCTCATTTTCCCGCAGTTTTTAAATATTCGTAAATCTGTATCTCATAAACCGTTCCCAATTTTTTGTCGAACATCTGGTAGGTTCAAACACAACTGCATAACTTACTACAGCTGCAATATTATGGGATTCTCCTTAGGGAGCTGACCATACGTGTTTGATCCAATGACCGGTGTAGTAATGTGGAGTGCTTAGAAGCTTTATGCATGAAGCACAATATAAGATCAACATATTATTATTATTATTTTTTGTGTCTTACTTAGAAAAATCAGTTGTACAACATTTTTAAAAAAAGATTTTCCTCTGGAGCCTGATTTAAAAGAGTAATGTAAAGCATAGGGCCTAGCTGATCATATGATGGATTATTTCATGATTAAACCATAACTTGTGTACAAAAGCAAATCCAAACAACACTCATTATATATATAAATACATACTTGATTACCTTCAACTAAAAACAGAACAAAGAATTTTTCTCTTGCCTTATTTTCTTATACAAAATTATTAATGGCATTATTGAAATTGATTGACTTAATTATATTTGATAAATTTAATACATGTTGACTCCATCCAATACTTTACCTGCTCGATGCAATGAATTTCACTATTCCTTCATTTTTTCAATTCCTCACACAATATTCTACACCTTATTACATCTAGGAACTCATCACAATCCTTTTAGCAAAATGTAAACGGATATTAAAGGCCTGTTTATACCTGTAAGGATAATGATAAAAAGCTAAAAAGCAATTTGTTCATATAGAAAAAAAAGGAAAGAAAAGAAGTTTTTACACTTGGACGATTCGATAATGAATTGTTGTGATTATTTCATCATTTGAATTGATTTGTCAAAATATTTTGTTATCGTATACACGATAATTTGATATCAAATCGTCCCTGTGTCAAAACTTCTCTTATTTCTTTTATTTTCCATATGAACAATTGCTTTTTAGCTTTTTATCATTATTGTTATCGTTGCAAGTATAAACAAGCCATTAGGGCCACTACATCTTCTACAGCCCTGCAAGTGCCTACTTGTCAGTGAAGATTATTTTCTGTTGTTGGTCCCAAGCTCTAGAATTTAGGTACAGGGCGGAGCTGCACACTCTATGGAGTGACTGGTCTTGTTATCATCTGCTATTTATTACTGAATGTTATGATACTCAAATAGGTACTTGGTACAAGATGTGTATTGTTAACTATTAGTCTCTTCTTGAATGAAATAAATTTATGATTATGAATGTGAATGAAACATTTCCATAAATCTGCTACCAATAATCACCATAGTGAGTGTTTGAGTGGAAAGATGTTGTGCCAATGTGCCTTGTTGATGGAAGAACCCATCTTGCCATTTCATTTAAACATTCAAATCATTAACATATAATGTTATGCATAATATTAATAAAGCAAAGTGGGTACTACAGCAGTACAAAAATGTGAGCATTTTTTTCTTTTGCAGGCATTGCTTGTATTTCTATGTCAACTGTGATGATAGGGGCTGATGGGAAAAGTAAGCTAATGAACCCATTAGCTTGTCTCAAACCTTTGCCTAATTCTTACAAGGAACCAGTTCATGTTAACGTTTTTGATAGTCTAACCAGTACAGAGATATATCATGTGCAGCCTGACACAAAGAAACCTGGTTAGTTTATGTCTGTTTAATAAATTATTATTTCTACAAATATATAATTGTTAAGGATGTTGTATTTCTGTTGAGCTAATAGATAAACATATTTCAGTATTTGTTGGCTTCATTTGGAAAAAAAAAACTAATCTCAACAATTAACAAAATCATGTAAGACTGTTCCTACATTCTTTGCATGTAAAACTTAGTGTAAATATTTTTGTTTTGCTACTGGATTAGTTATAGCTATGCAACATGTTTTATGGTGGCCATCTTGGACACCATTTCAAATTCAATATGAATGTATTAAGAAAACTAAACTTATTGATTAGAAGAAGATATGGTTGATAAATCAGGTCTTAAATTAATATATTCATGATCCTCAGTACATCATTTAAAAAAAAAAATTGTCTGTGTAAAATGAATACAAAACAGCAGCCAGTGGCTAAAAATGTTTGTTTACAAAAGAATTGGTAGAAGTATAAATATAGAAACTATGAAACAGAAAAATATATCTTAATTATTAATATTAGCCTTATAACATGTACTGGGAAATATTATAATTGCAAAAATAGAAACTGAAATTAATAATTAAATATAAAATAAAAGGCAAAAATTACAATGTAATTATAGACATTATTCCAAACAAATTAAAGGCAATTTATAATGAAGAGACAGCACTATTACAGTAATTAGTGTGGCTGAGTTGACATTAATACAAGTCAGTATGAGTTGATCGTACGTCTGTATATGAGTTGTGGTGGGTGATTGATTTAAACAACACCCCTTTATTTATTAGTTTTTATTTACATCAAATTGAAAGTGGTCTCAATTGGTTTCCTAAGCAAAACTACAATTCAGTTACAAATAATAAATGATTTATAGCTGTTTTTGAGGTACAGAAGTATCAATCTTTTGGAAAAATGGAAAAATGTCTATTTTAAATGAAAATTCTTAGAATAATTCTATTTATGTGACATTCAATCTATTCATTAGCAGTATTGATTTCATTGTTATTTAGTGATGTCAAAACTATAAGCTTCAACTCATAGCTTTCTACTTAAAGGTCCGACTTCATTGATTGAGTTCAGCATCTGGGAACGTGGTGATGTAGACATGCCTAGCTTGACTCAGAAGCTTCTCAACTCTGTCCGCCATTCTTTTTGTGATGCTGTGATGGAGTACTTGATACTGACTGCACCTATGGGCTTCACCCCAGATATGCAAACCAGATGCTACAACTTTCCTACCTCTCCACCAATAACCCCTACAGGTGAATACATTCTTTTACACACATGTAAAATATAATGATAAGGAAGCCTTGCAAAATATTAAAGCTAATATCATTATTATATAATTTTTTGGTACAATTCTAAGCCATTCCGGAACTCTTTGCTTTTATTCCTTCTTCCTATATCTTACTGTACTATAAAACCAATTAATATACTGACATTATATTTAATTACTGTAGGCCTATATTATTTATATATTATTTATTTTACTGATTACACCATAATTTTAGTAAGGTATTATTCAAATCATAAATTTCTTGCATTATAAGAGATTTCATAATTATTATGCAATATATCACATTTATATGCATGAACATAGATAAGATTAATTTAAACATGAACATAGTAATTCTTATTTAAACATAATAAATTTAAATACAAATATATAATCAACTGAATAAGACTAATTTAAACATGGACATAGTAATCAGTTAATTTAAATAAGATTAACAATTTTCAATCTTCTTATGTAATCATTTTATATAGCCGGAGTTATGTTTTGACCTAGGTTACTACTATAGCTATGTTTGAGAAAAAATGGTAAATAAATATCATAAACCAGGTACCGGCAACCTATTGGCATAGATTTTAGTTTTCAAATGCTTCAGAAAAAAAGGGAGAAGTTATGTACAATTATGTAAACAAAGGTAGTTTGTCGAAGTGGTTTGATGCAGTGCGAACTGTTTAGTTTCCCAACTTCGAGGTGGTGGGGTTGCAATACCTCGCTGTGCATTTTGCTTGTGTCTTTGAGTAAGGTACTTCATCTGTGTTGCTTCTCACCACCCAAGAGTAAATGGGTACCTGGTAGGGTTGCCTGTACTGAGCCAATATTGCATATGGCATGTGGACCCAAACAAAGCACTTCAGGGTCCTGGGTTAAATTCCTGTTATGGTAACAGATAAGATAGTATAATAATACATACTCCAAGTATCAAAATGCACGCCATCGTGTCGGGATGGCTTGCATTTTGATACTTGGAGTATATATTATACTATCTTATCTGAGATTAATCAGTGGACCTTTCGGTAACAGATAAAAGATTAAAGAAATAAATGATAAAAAAGATATAAAAAATATGTTTAAAAATTACTAAGTGCTTTATGTAAACAACATGCTGTACATGTGCATGTGAGCTGGTTTTCAAAGTTGTTTCTAATACTTCAAATTCAATTGCTAATGAAGTTACAACAATAAGTTATATATTTGCTAATCTAAAGTTAATTAGAATTTACTTGTCATAAATGTCATAAAATGAATTTAAATTATTTTTATAACACCAGTCCTGCTGTTGGGAAGTCAATTAGTCTGTTTTTAAAGACATGATATATTTGCACCATGTTTGCACTATATATAAGTCAGCATATTATTATTGTTATTGAGGTAGTTTTATACCAATACCTATGATATTTGAAAGTATTTCTTTATATATGTTCTTCATCTATAAAAACTTCAATGTTGTATATTATAATGAATAAATAAATTTTTATATTTTTAGGAAAGCTAGAACTTGCATATCCTGCAAGTAAACTGGCTGTAGATGCAGCATTGTCTTCTAGTAGCTCCCCTGTAAACATCAAGGTACGTCTTATCTCATGTTAATTTTAATCTAAATCAAAAGGTATTTTTACTGATACTGAATGCAAAACATATAGGCTAGATTAAAATAAATTCATTTAAGTGTTGATTCATTCTTATTGTTTTGTTCCTGCCTGTGTGTATTGTTATTATTTTGTATGAATATTAACTGGATTGCTTAATGCAATATGTATTTTATATATATTTGTATGTATATATATGTATTTGTACATATATACATATATATGTATATGTATATGTATATATTATTATGTATATATATTTGTATGCTATGTTTCTCTATTTCCTGTTTTTATTTGGAATTTTGGTCAATATACTATAGTCTGTTTATTATACTGTTAGCATAATGTGGGAACGACTATTAATCTCCGTTCTCATTGCAAACTGTTTATTACTATCAATGTATAGGCCTACCCGCATTGTTATTCTTTAACTCCTCCCACTACAGTGGTTATGTGTGCCCACTTTTTGCTAGTTTTTTTCATGTACCTTGATAAAGACCTGAGGATAGGTCGAAATATTGGTTTTCTCCAATAAAGTGTTTCTGAAGTCTATACATGGTATTCGTTTCCTATATTCTTTTGTTATATTTGNNNNGGACTACGATGCGCACCTGTGGAAAGAGGGGGGAGGCGGAAAGAGGGGAAAGCCGTAGGAGCCGCCCCCCCCCTTTTTTGTAAAGAATCTTAAAATGAATACTTCTCTAAAATACTGTATGTAAATATGCATCAGCACATTGGTGTTGATTTAAATGCTGTACAATTTCTAATTGACTCCTTCTGTTATATGTTTGTGACTCGTGCTGTAGTAGAAACCCACAATAAACTTCTATCAACAAAAGTCACTCGCTAACCTGATAGTAACCCATTGGAATATTCAATAGGTTAATCAATTTTTCACTGTACGCGATAATGCAAAAAATAAATTTTCAGATTTATAACAGCTCTACTGCTCAAGGAGTGGATTTAGCAAACTTACTTAACAAAAAAAAATTGGTCTTAAATCCATAAATCCCAGGCCATGTCTTTTAAAATACAGAAATGTGATATTGTATGGTTCAGTTTGGTTGTCAGTTATCCTTTTGCAAGCATTTATAAAGTTTTGTTTAATACTACTAAATAATAATAATAATAATGGTTGGACCCTCCATCTGTGAAAGTCCCTTCCTGGGTCACCTTTCTTTTGAATTTCTGGATTCGCCACTGAATTATAATTCTTCGTAAGGCTTTATACTAATATTAGGCCTATTTATAATGAGATTTTGTTTGAAAATAAAATTTAATTTTTGGCCAATCAGCACTCTCGCTGCCATGAGAAAATTAAAATTTCATAAAACAATAAAAGGTTTTTTTATATTTATCAAACCCTCCGTTGCCTTGAAATCTCCAAAGGTAAGTTACAGTATGTGTATTTCTTCCTAGTTATATAAATTTGAAGCATTTAACCATCCTATTTTACATTCACCAATAACATTTTATTTTATTTTCTCCTCCATCTGGATGTTTTTAGCAAAACTATTTGATAAATAAGAAAAAAAAAATATTATTTTAAATTTTATTCCGCCCTCCTCTGATGATCTTTAAAAAATAAGTAGGTAAAACAAAGAATAAAAAGTCTCACTTATACTTTAAAGATTCAAGGAATGAAATTATATTTAGGCCTAGGCAGGAAGCCACTTGGGTCTATGGCCTAGATCGTAGCCTAGTCTAGATATTAAATCCCTGGTATTCAACCCTTTTAAGCTAGAGGCCAGTTCCGATTTGTTGAGACCAGCGGCGGGACGACATAAATTGTGTACTTCCATTTTCTTTTTAGCGGTGAATTCGTAAAATAGAAGCGGCTAGGGAACAACTGTCACAGATAGGGCAAAATACCACCTCAGCCCCACCATGGTTGGGGGTGAGGCAAGAAAATTTATGATTATGGCACCTCTAGATGGTTGGAAATGTCACTCTCAGACTTAAATTTGAATTTTCTTTTCTTTTCTTCTCTTTTCTTTCTTCTAGAATTTCGAAAAAAAAAAAAAAAAAAAAAAACCTGCACTCTAGGTTCTCGTACCAAGCCACTAGAAATTTTTGTACCACAAAAATATCCACTCACCAGTGGTTGGGGCTAGGGTTGCACATTTTTAACATAGATACCTCTACATTCCTGGAAATTGCACTTTCAGACTCGAAAATAAGTTTTCAAAGCAGTGTTTTCAACAGAATATCTTGCCTCGAGCCTGCATAGTGCCGCAAATGGTTAGACATCGCAACATATCAGTGTCCCACTTAATAAATTGTCCCCATTAGTCTACCCCTCCCCATGCCAGTACCCTACGCCTCAGCTACATTCAGAAAAAGCCACTCCTGTAGACATTGTTAGAGTAGGGGTGCCTATGTAGTGTTGCTCTAAACAGGAAAAGCTTTTTCTAAAAATCGACCAGAAAATGACTTTTAGCAACGTTTCGCAGGCCGGATCAAAATTTTTGGCGGGCCGGACTTGGCCCGCGGGGCGGGGGTTTGAATGTCGGGGTATTAAATCATTACTTGATTTTACCTGTCTGCTCCGACCAAAATGTGATTACTGTATTCTCTCAAATGCTTTAAGAAATGTTTATTTCTGTAACAAATGTCTACCAAAATAGCAATTAAGTTCGTCAAACACAATAAATAGTTATTCATTGTATCTATTCTACAATGTGTAACATCGTTAGTAGTGTGTTAGTGCATACTGCAGGAGCATATCAGCATATGCACAGCTAAATGTACCCTAATATGCACTAAGTATACTGATCATATCACTATAGCAACCAATGGTACAACAGTTGATTATCGAAACTAACATCACAAGACGGTGATGGACTTTTAGTATAGCTGCATACTGCAAAATTATTATACTTAGGTTAGATTTAATGCATACAAATTGAAAATTTTTCAAGCATTAAATCTAATAATAAATACCCGCTAGTGTACTATGCGCAGGTCTACTAATTGCTTATTAGTTATGATACATGAATGTGATGGGTGCATGTACATCAACCACATACTGTGTTTTTCAATTGACTGTGCTTAATTACCATATATTATGGTAGACTAGAACAAATATACAAGAATAACAGGATTATATAGAGAGAATAAAACTAAAGTAACTCAATAAAACATACTTATCCTAGTACAATTTGTTTCAAACACATTAGTAGTATTTTGTTTTGATATACTTTGATCCAATGATGTCTATTTCAGCGATCTATGTCAGTTGGTGAAGTGAGTTTATTCTCTCTTCCGGAATCTAGATTCTTCCAAAGGTTGCAGAAGGTATTATTGCATTTATTTGGCACATATAGAGTTTCTTTAATAGAATTAAAAGGAAATTCAATTTTAGAATTTATTGTTTATAACAGACTGGTAGATTTGGGTTCAACTTCAAAATATTATTTCAATAAGTCAATCAAAGGGATATCAAATTTCGTTTTTATTACTTGCAATTGTTTAAATTATTACTATATTTGTCAATAAAGTAACATACTTGAAATAATAGAATCTGTTTGGTGTTGAATCCAATTTTGATTTAATCCAGATTGACTACTGCAATATTAATTGCTTGTGCATGCCAACTCATATAATTAAACTATTTATAAAAGGTTCATCCTCACTTGGAAAGCACACTTAATAAACCAGTGTAACATTTCCACACACTTTGCATGTCGAAGGCTATACTTTATTCTTTAATTAATATGATGACCATTGGGGAAACATGGGGATCGGAAGTTCGCTTAAATGGAATTTGATAAATGTGGGATGTGGTGCATTTAGTGTTTGTTTATATTTTCTTGGTAATTAAGAATTTTTTTTGCTTAATTCTGCTAAAAACAAGGTAGACAAACGAACAGCAGTGAATACTCAACTTCCTTTGTATATTTATATTTATTTGAGATAAAAATAACAATTATCGGTATGGTCAACTGTAACCACTTATCATTGAAAATTTAACAGTGACATGAAGCATTACACAAATGTGCATGGGAAACAGCTGTAATGAAATGATACACAATGTTGAAGGGCGAATTGTGATATGCACACTTGTTACCAAAATCATGTCAAAAGCTTGTAGGTAATAATCGTGATAAAAATATATGAAATTTAGTATTATTAATGTTAACATTTATTGTATTGTATATAATAATAATAATAATAAGAATAATCGAAATGCCAAATGTAACTCCCAATGTTATTTTCCTATCCCAAACTGTCCACTAATTTTTCATTAGTGCATGGTTCACTTGACTATTTTTGATTTGCATGCAAAAGATCAAAACAACTTGCCTGGTGGCGTACTGCGATAAATATTTTAGGCTATTGTTTTTACACCTAGCACTACAACGCATTCCTGCTGCCGAGGTAAGCAAGAGAATCGAGAGGAGACACTCGACCAATCAACGTTTGTTTACAAGTAGTAAAGAAACTGAAAATTTAATAAAAGTATTTGAGGCCTATCTGGGCCTATTTTAAAGACTCAAAGAACAAATTTAAATGTAGGCCTCCTGTAATTAGGAGGCCTAAGCCTAAATGAAATCATCAAATATTTTTATTCTTTTGCACTGACCAAAAAAGTAATTATTGTATTCTCTCAAAAGCTTTGAAGAAATTTACCTTTCTGTTTTGATAGAATGTCTATCTGAATAGTAAACTCATGATTCAAACACAAATATTTATTACTATTTGAACTGCTGTAGTATTCGCTGCAGCAATCTGCAATGCACAGCCAATACATATGCTCACAGATGTAATGGTAATATCACTATAGCAACCAGTGACTGCTGCAACAACAGATTGGTTATTAATACAAAAACTAAGGCAGGGTTTAATTATGAAACAATTAGTATAGTGTTTATCTGTACAAATGAGGAAATTATTATACTTAGGTTACAAAATTGCAATCAAAAAATTAATTTAACCTTTGTATACAGTAATAATTTCTACCAACTACACAAATACTAATTGCTTATTATTATTGTTTTTTTTTTTTTTTTTTTGCTTCATAATCATCATCACCACCATAATTATTATTATTGTCATCATCATCATCAATATATTTTAAGGTCATGCATTATTCAAATATTCTTATGGTAAAAGCCAAACAGCAATCAGAAATAACCTTCTCATGAATAATTCAAAATCTTTTTACAGTTATCAACCAATCAACAACCAGGAATTCCTTCCAGAGAAGGTACACCAAAAGAATTCAAGGTACATATTAAGCAAAGGTCTATCTTTTTTTTGTGTTGATTAGACATGCAACTGTATTATTAATTATTTCAGATTTTGTTATCAATATAAAGTGAAATTGGATGATTGATTTTGGTTATTTAGATATTTTCATTTAATTAAAATTAAAAATACATTTTTATAAACATATATTCTTCATGCTAAATCAGGAAAATCATCATTTGAATCTGTATTTGTATACTCATGCTGATTTGATTGTGCCTGTTCTAGCCATAGGTTGTTGCTATGACAGCATACACAAAACTCTTTTTACATGCAAGGTTGTCTGTTATTTCTTTATCCCACTAGCTTGTCCTGTCTGTATCACCATCTTCTTTCATCAGGTGGTTTCAGGTATTAATCAGAAAATGGTGTGGTTCAGATGTTTTGTTCTATAGAGTTATATCAAAACAGTTTTCCAACATGGAATAGAGGGAATTACTAATAAATAAATATATATGATTTTTTTTTTTAGGTAGTAGTGTTTGGTTTATTTTTTAGGTAGTAATGTTTCTGCCAATAATTTGTTTCTCCTTGTGTGTGTGTGTGTGTGTGTGTGTGCCCCNNNTTTCAGCTATTGTTCTATAGCTGTCTCTTATACACATCTAGATGTGTATAAGAGACAGATTGTACAGTATCTCTGGTCTTAAGCTTTTCTATTTTTCCTTTCATTTGTATTTTTGTTAGAAGTTCTTGTTTAGTTTTTTTATTTTTAAAGTTCTCATGATATGTGAAAAATACGGCCTCATGGAAGAACACCACCTTGGTGAACGAGCTTCCATTGTAAAGGAAAGATTTTATTATTATTATTAATATTATTATTATTATTAACATTATTATTATTATTATTATTATTATTATTATTATTATTATTATTATTATTATTATTATTATGTATTAATGCTTGCGGTACACCACATAGATAGTTCTGAAAAGAACTGTTGTTGTTGGTTGAGAATATCGTATTTGTGAATTTCTGAACCTTCTCTGGTCCATCTGGAGTGCCAAGATGGTACAGTGGCTATCAGTTCAGATTTATTGTAACATACACGATGTTGTTGTTTGTGGGAGTGCATGACTATAGATGACTTTTGCTGTTCCCCTCTCCTAGCATGGCCTTTCTGTTCCTTGAGCCTAGTACGTGGAGATCTGTCCTGTTTCACCTTTCCACACTCACATGGAATCCAATAAACTCGTGACTGGCTCTGTGCTAGTGGTTTATCCTCAAAGTGATATAAAACTATAAAACACTTTAATATCGGCTTGTTTTAGAATATGTTGAATACGGTGTGAAAGCTGTCCCAAAAATGGTAAATAACATACAAACTTTTGGCTTTCCTTTCACCTAGCTACATAGTTACCAACCGTCTTGCATCGTGCGGGACGGGATGGTCCTGTATTCCAAAATGATTTTGGTTAAAACACACATTTTGCAGAAACACATGCGTGATCATAAATTTGTCACGCATTTAGCACAGGTTTATGCATGAGACAGATTATCACAAATTCAGGGGGGAAAATGTATTTAAAATTATAAGAAATTGGAAAAGAACAGGAAACTTAAGAAATATAATGAAAAGGAATAGATAAGGAAACATAAGAAAGACAAATGAAAGAAAAGAAATGGTCACATGAGAAAGAACAAGGAAAGAAAGATAAGGTAGCATGAGAAAGAAAAGATAAGGAAATATAAGAAAGACAAAGAAAAGGAAAAGAACTGGAAACTTAAGAAAGATAATGAAAAGGAATAGATAAGGAAACATAAGAAAGAAAAATGAAAGAAAAGAAAGGTCACATGAGAAAGAACAAGAAAAGAAAGATAAGGTAACATCAGAAAGAAATAGAGGGAAAAAAAAATAAGGAAACATAAGAAAGACAAGGATAAGGAAGAAAAGGAGACATTAGAAAGTCAAGGAAATTTAAAGATAAGAATACATCAGAAAGATTAGGAAAAGATAAGAAAAGGGAACATACAGTAAGATGCAATGAAATTAAATGTAAAATATACCAGAAAAAAACTGACAAGGTAATATCTGATAAAAAAGAAATGATAGTTTGTATAACTGCTGTGAGTAGGCAAAAAATAGAAAGGATGGTATTACTTTGACAAAATAAAAAGGTAGGTCTACATTTTGATTTCTTGTGCTGCCGTTTTTAATTTTCAGTAATAAAATTTACAAAAAAGAACAAAAAAAAAAACATGTTTACACTTTGTTGCTTGTGATTCCTGTTTGTTCTCTACCTGTTGTTTGACACTGCGCCTTGAGCACCAATTTTGGCGGTGATGTTTGCACTTTAAAAATCGTTATTATTATTGTTATTATTAAAACAGTCATCAATCAATCAATCTTTCCATTTTCATGGTGCCATTCCAAAAAAGATTTTTTTAAAAAGGTGCATCTTGAATTGTGACTTAAAACTGTCAAGAGAAGGTGATTGTCTGATTTTTAGAGGAAGTTTATTCCAGAGCCTTGGTCCAGCAGTGCTGAAAGCCTGTAACTTGAGACTAAAACCAACTCAATCCTTTCCGAGCCACTGGGGCTCATAGGGCTGGAGCTTATCCCCAGTTTCTGTAGTGTGAAGCGGATGAGAGTTGTACTCCCCCTGGACGGGACACTAGTCCATCGCAGGTTAGTTCCTAGCAGTTTGCTGGTATCCATTGATACAGCTGGGTGGACTGAAGCAATGTAGCTAAAGTGCTTTGCCCAAGGACACAAGCGAATCTGCACAGAGGAGACTCGAAAACCCGACCTTACGATTGAAAGCCCAAACCTCAACCACTGCCCCAAACTGCTGCTTGAGACATTAGACAGTATTTACATGAAAACTTAATTCACTTACGCATTACTAAAAATATATTTGTGTGCCTATTCATTTTTTGTTTAGTGTTGAAATGTATGTGAACATAGTTTGGGTGCTCAAATTAAACATAATGTACATTGAAACTCAAATTGTATGTGGCTTTATTAAAAATATTTTTGTTTATTTACCATACCCGGTATTGTCAACAAACACTCCCTGAATTTGATTTAAAACAGCTTAAAAATGCTCAGATCGTTGGAGCGCCTCCCCAGAGGGACCTGGTGGTCCCTCCCCCCTCCCAGCCAACTGGTAGTCAGACATTTCAAATCTCTCAAGTTTGGTAACTCTGTAGCTAGAACAATGCCACTGTATTGGCTTGTTAGGCTAAGCCATACCCCACCTTTTTGCACAGACTGGATTTTGGCTTTTCACACGTAGTTTCAGCTATTGTTCTATAGTTTTCAACCAATCACCTTTTGACAGAGTTTGAATCTCTTTTTCGGAAGCCTGCCTCCTTTTTTGTCTTTTTGGTGTGTTTTTTTTGTAATCTGTTGAGGCGAATAAATGAATTGAATTGAACTGAAGACGATTGAAGCAACTCAATCAAAACGTCTAGATATTCTCAACCAACAACATTTCTTTTCAGAACCATCTATGTGGTGTACCGCAAGTATTTAATATATATTATTACTTATATATATTATTACTAATTTATATTATTGTTGTTATTACCAGGCAGTTTAGAGTTTTGTACCATTATTTAAATAAATATATGTATGTATATATATATGAGGCATGTTGTGGCAAAATGGCCAAGTTGTAACAAAAATTGAAATTCAAGTTGTTGGTATTTTCATATACCTGAGCATGTGATCTTTAAAATGAGGGGTCATTCATTGAAATTGGACATTTCAAGCCTAAGTTATTGGAAAGTGAAAGTACAGTACACTTAGAGTCAAGATAAACATGATTTTGAGTAATTGCCTTACAAAGTTATTTGTGTATACATTGTTTAATAGAATTAACTATCAAAATAACATTAAATAAACAATTTGTTGACCACTTCCAGAACTAATACTTTGGTACATGATTAATAAGACATTAAACTTTTGATCTATAATGAAAAACAAATTTGGATTTTTAGCAGATATATGCAAATGCAAAGAATGCAAATTTGATTTAGTTTAGAGTAAGTAGAGTCTGGTACATTTGTATGTTCTGTGAAATCAAAGCTTTTGTTTTGTACAGCAAAATGCTTATAAATACTTCAACATGTCTTGGCATTGATATTTGTGTTTGTGCAACTGTATGACCATTACTTAGCATGTGATTGAAATCCCTCTGGTATATTACGTGTCTTTCAATTTATAATCTATAGAATGTTATAACATGACTCCTAGCACATTATAAAAAAAAGCATCAATACATTTTACTTACAGTATAAAGGAAAAAGAATAGACAAATAATATTTGGGACCCATCCTTTTCCTGCTTTACATTCGTCCTTTTGGTGAAGTCATTTCTAAACATGCATGTAAATATCACATGTATGCGGATGATACGCAAGTTTACATCGCCTTTAAACCTAAGTCTCTATGTGAGGCAGTGAGGTCAATGGAAGCATGTTTAGATGATGTCCAGTCATGGTTAGCACGAAATATGCTGTGTTTCAACCCAACCAAAAGACTGAAGCACTGTACATCCACTCGCGCTGTCGTAAAATCTTGCCAAATGCATTAAGTGTTCGAGTTGGTGATGCTACTATATTTCCATCTGTTGTAGTTCGTAATGTTGGCGTGACGTTTGACTTCACCATGTCATTGAAGCACCATGTACCTGTAGGCAACATATGTAAATCTGCATCGTATTACATTCGAAACATCAAACAGATTACACGCTTTATGAATGAAGATGCTACATTAAAGCTGGTACATTCTCTTGTAACATCTAGAATTGGTTATTGTAACAGGGTCCTTTATAGATTACAGAACAAATTAATCAAGAAGATACAGCTTCAGCTAAACACAGCAGCCCATCTAGTCAAACAACTACCCAAATGACAGCACATCACCCCTACCCTTAAAACTCTTCATTGGCTACCAGTTAAACAGCACATTGCTTTCAAAATTCTTGTTCACACATACAAGTGCCTTCAAAATTCCTCCCCGTCCTATCTGAGTGACCTAATTCATCTTCGCTCAGCAACCTGTTACAGAAATCTACGGTCTACCACTAGCCAGAATACACTTTTTACTTCACGGTGCCACTTGAAATACGGAGAGAGGTCTTATTGGGTTGCAGCTTCTAAGCTCTGGAATGAACTTCCAATCTACATTCGGGAGTCTTTCTCTTTCTGTTTTCAAGCAGAGCCTTAAATCACACCTTTTCCTTTTTAATTTAAGTTGTCTCTGCTTTCTGTTAATTTTTCACTTTTGTTGTTAGGATAGGCTAGACCAGATGCCAACAGTATTCGAGCACCTGTGAGTCATGTACCTGCTACCACTGCTTGTCGGTGGTCTCACATTGCAGGTGAATGGTGCAATAGTGTTGGTTCCTTCTGCGTTAGTCTGTTTCGGTTGTTTTTTTAGCTTGGTTCCCTTAGGTGACCCTCTAGAATAGATTTTATTTTCTTTTAGGCGAATAGAGACCATTTATTATGTGCTTTATAAGTCTCCAACCATTACCATTACCATATATAATGTCATGAGAAAGATGCAGTGGCGTATTCAGGGGCTAGGACACAGGTGGGCAAAGTGCGACCTGACAGTGATTTTTTTGCAGCCTGCAAAAATGAAATAAAAACCCTATTTTTGCGGCCTGCCAAACATCTTTTACTACAAAACACCTTGTTTGACACAGCTTATCTGTTAAAACTGAGAATAAAGTTGTTTAAAAGTAGTGGTTTTTGGAAGCACACTGTAAACATCAAAGTTTTGTTGCGGCCTTCGGTGTTAAATCAAAATATCACTTTGGCCCTCCGATTTTTATGCCCCCTTGGCTAGGAACCCCCAATCAATGGCAGCAATCAAAACCTGACTGTAGCCCTTTTGACCCCACAATTACAAACATTCCTAAACCTCCCCCTATTGATCATAGGTTCCCAAGAGTAGATCCATTGGTGGAGGATGAAAACAGGGAATAGGGTACCTTCCGCCCCCCCCCCCCAAAATAAAAAAGAAAAATAAATAAAAAAAGAGAAGAACAGAAAGGGGGTAGAGGGGAACAAAGTACTCCAAAACAAGCTAATTTTGTATTTAACTTCCATGTACCAGTCAGTGGCGGTTCCACAAATTTGAAATAAAGGAGGCACAGGAGGGACTTTCACAGCTGGAGGGTCTAGACCCACCTCAGTATATTTTAAGATTTTGGCACCTCTAGATGGCTGGAATTGGCACTCCCAGACTTTTTTGTATAATTTTGAGGGCCCTGGGCCAGCCTGTCCTCCCTTTTAGACTGCCACTGCCGGTGTCTATTTAAAGCAGTTCATGTTCAATATCTCATGTACAATGATGCTCTTTATATGAGGTGCCAAGTGTAAATTTGAAAGATTTGATATGATCAGGAAAACAACTACTTTTTAACAGCAGTAGCAATTTGTTTTATTTATGAATAGCATGCACTTTTTTGTTTGCATAAAGTATAAGATATTTTATTTCATTTTGTAATATGCCAAGAAAATGAACTCATCCTTTCAAGATGTGGTACGGATTGGTTTCAATTATAAGGGAAGATATGATGCATTTTTATTATAATTAGGAGTATTATTGGGCACTAAAAATTGAATGTGGTTTTTCTTTTTGTGTGAAGTAATGCACAGGCTATTAAATAGCTTCATTTGAATTCCACATTAACATATATACTTTTTGATCTATTTCCGCTGTAAATAAAAAGCGTTCACAG